TCGTTATAAAATGTGGGAAATAAAAAGGGTAAAATTGATGTGAAATATTGTGAAGTGTTGAAAGGGAGCTGCTTCAACTGAAGATTTGAGATGTGGCACTTCAAATCTTTACATTCAACACAGGCGTAGTTCTGGAAGAGCAAGTAAACAACCGTCAATTTAAAAGAGAAAAACAAATGCTTCCGTGGAATTTCGCTTCTTTATACTGCGATGGTTTATAGTTGTGTGTGATTTAGTTGTTATTTGAACAATTCTAGTTTCTAGGCACTCTTATTCATCAACTTCTGCTTGTTCCAACTTTTTATTTTATTCCACCTCTCCTTCATTCTGCCACTGTTCATAAAAATAATGCTCAAGAACACAAACCTGAACGTATAACAAAGTAACACTAGCAAATGCAATATTAAGAGTGAGTTCAATCCTGATGATAATTGTGTTTTTCAGAGCAAATAAAAATTTTCACCATCCATTTAACATTAAACACCTAACAGAAACTTATACAAAATTCAGTAATCAAAAAAGAAGAAAATCATTGCATTGTTTACAAAATAAAAGTAAACTGTGCATTAAAAAATCGAATGATGTGATCTATTAAATTTTTTTCATGTAAATATTTCAATGAAACTTGATAACATTTAATTAAAATTTTATTTTTAAATCTTTATCTTGCAAGACTTTAAGAACAATTTTTTCCCCTTTTTTTATAACTTCTTGAATAATTTTAATTGTAAAAAATAAATCTAACATTGAAAAATCAATGTTAATGAAGAATTCATATTTGAAAGATTGTTATAAATCAAAAAAAGAAAAAAAATTATAGATTTCCTTTCAAAGCACAAAAATTGTAAATCGAGGAACAATTCTTTCACATTATTCAAACACAAAACATATGAAAAAAATAAAAAAATAAAACTTAACGCCTTCCTTTTTTTCAACCATTCACAGTGAAACTTTCACATCGACCATGCAGAAGAGTTTGCTGTGTTAGTGGAAGATAACAAAGCTTATGTTGATGTATCGACTGGTTTAGGTTTAGTTAGTGAACTTTTCTCAGTCTAAAGATGAACAACGATGAAAATAAGCAGTTAACAATGCGGAAATCATTCAAATAAAACAAAAATGAGAAAGTAAAAAGTGAATCAGCTTATTTATTTCTCATATCCTTGTTCTATTTCTGATATGATTGATAACATATTTGTTGATAACATACGTATTCAAAACGAATTTAAAACGATCATCATTGAGTCTTATTTTGATAAGAATATGCTCAGCTGAAGTTTCATTAATTATATTAGTCATCTTTCATTTAATATTCCCGAATTCATTGAGTAAATATGAGATATTTAACTCCTTCAATCTGTTAGGAAGACTGAAAAGAGTCCTATTTAAGGGAAATAGAATCAATAGTGTATTATAATCTACCTTGTTTTCCAACCTGGGATGACTTGAGTCACATCAGTGCAGAATATCTGTTCAGTATGTTCGTCATAATTTAATTTGATGGATTAGTCGTGGTTTTTCAAAAAATCTCAAGTTAGGGCGAATAAAAGACACAAGTGCCTTACAAAAAATTTGTCCAGTATGTTTTTAGTGAAAATTCATCCTATTTCAAGTGCATCTTTTTAAACTGAAAAAATCTAGCTGTCAAATAACTTTTTTCAAATAACTTTTGACAAATAACTTTATCAAATTATAGTCACATAAAGTTTCTTACAAAAACATTAATATTATAGTATATATTTACAAATTATTAGCAGAAGGAATGCATGTTACATCCATATTGCAGAATTAATATAGGCTTAGAAAGGAAAGAGAAAAACGAAGTCTACCGAATAATAACTATAATAATTATGAATTATGAATAAAGGAACGATACAAAATTCATACGATGAATGGATGAAATGAAGAAAGATACAAGAATAATGATTTATATTTTATTTCTGAGTAAAATAACTGTCAACCTATTATATTTTTTAAAATCTAGTTACCTTCATTTTTTGAAGAAAGTAGACGCAAAAATACCGTATGAAAGAAAAATACAAACATTAGACAGTGAAAATAAACACAAAGTAACCTATGTGGACAGTTATATAATTTTTTTTCTTGAAATTCCATACGCATCGGAATATTGCCCCGAAGTGGATGAAGTTAAAGGAAAAGTTTCATGTCTCCCAGTAGTCTTTTAGCCTTCACAGTTTTCCACGTTGTTCCAAGCAAAGTTTTCTATCGATTATATTTCAGTATATTATCTAAGATTATATGTTAGTTCCCTCCTCTTATGGTTCTGTATTGTTACATTTATATAGCATTTTTATGTCAGGTGTTGAATTTGGAGATAAAAGAGACAAAAAAACATAGTGTGGGATGAAGCTGACTACTTCAGGTTGAAAAGAGATTTCAAAAGAATCTATATATTTCAGTTAGGAAGTTCTATTAACCTTAGCAGGGAATCCATTACTATTATGATCAAAAGTTGAATCTATTGCGGGAAATTGAAGTCTAACGCAGTGACTCGAAGCACTGTTGAGAAAACGGTAATAGCAATTCTTTTGACAATTTTAACTTGGCAATTGCAGCAGTAAGGTTTACCATGATTTCTCGCAATGACTGCATGAACACTTGGTTTTTTTTATTTTCAACAATATTTTGTAGTCTGAAATGTCTTTAAGTTTTGCTTTAATTTTGCTTTGCTTTTCTTATTTCCAAAAAGGTCTCATAACAGATGTAATCCATACGTAAAACTCGGATCCCCCTTGCAGCGAGATGGTTGTCTTAAATCTATGTTACCACTACAAACTAACAAATAGAGCATATGATTTCGAACGTCAAGTGTGCATTGGATTTTCTCGTTGTACAAATGAAATAAAACTTTAAAATATATTAACGCAGTAAGAGAAATAAATTAAGTATCAGATTCTTTTAATAATTTCTCCAAAGTCATATTCTCTTTTTTTATTTCCATCCAGTCGTTAACAATACATTCAAGTTTTTCATCGGTGTTCTTTTGATGTTGAATAGCAATCTTCAACGAAAAAGTTATAAATCATGAATTAGTGACATTTAGCAAAAAAGCTAAATATTTCTCCACTTTACTAGATTGTTTTAGCAAAAAGTTAGTAAACGTTTTATAAAAGTGAATTTGAAAGAAACTAAATGCGATAACTTTACTTGATCGTTTAGCTCTTCAATTTCTCGTTCAAGTTGTCCAGCAGAATCAATGCCAGTGATAACACAAGAACACTCACCATGAATTTTCATCAATAACCTGTACGCTTTTTGCATAGATGCATCTTTCTGAACGTCCTGTAATGTACAGATATAAGCTTTCAAATAACGTCGTAATACATGAATCGAATAACTGAAGTATGCATACAACAGTTGGATCAGAACTAATTCTGGCAGTCACCACAGTCAGGTTATTTAGTAGATAATAATACAAAAGAGATACCTTGTACAGTTTTCCTTCAACTACAATGAACGAACGCTCCAATTTCCCCGCACTCGACCTGATCTCCTTCTGAAGAGTGAAATTTTCAACCGCAATCTATAAATATGGAGAATAAGCAATAGGATATTTCTAGATTCACTGAATTTTTCCAACTTTTGAACAAGGACTCTATAAATGGTTCGCCATTTTACGTTAGCGCAGCTTTGGATGGAATAAATAAGTAGTAACATTAAAATTTACACTGCATCACTTGAACATACCTTGTTAATTTCATTTTGCTGCTTTCCAATGTTGCCAACAATGTCAAATATGTGCTTCGTATAAATACTTCGATTAATTTGTTTTTCTTCCCGTGATTCGACCTGTTTTCTCTGAAAAATAATAAGTAAAATTGATCTAAGCTCCACTGATGATATATAAAATAAAACTATTTCAATATAGTTTGAAACAAACCAGTTTTTCCAGGGTTTTCTTTTTATCAGCAAGTTCGTTCTCAATCAGTTTTATATCCTGCGCTGAAGTTTCTTGACTGCAGTGCGGAAGGGTAAAATCCTAGAACAGCTTCAGCTTAATTTTTTATAATCATGAAAGAAATTTAGATTACGGACCGATGATAAAGCAGTTAGCCGTGCTCTCTTCACTTCTTCATCTTTTTCTGCTTTAGCTTTCAACCACAGATTTTGAAGATGCTGCATCCTTCCATTACTTCCATCAACATAATTCTGGAAAAGAATATTTAACATGAGGCAGCAACTCAACATCTATACCCTCTAGTTACTATTTCAAAAATGTGTTTCAATAGGAACAACTACAAATGTATAAAAAACCTCAAGTTTCAAGACAGCATTCGGATTTCCCAACAGTTTTTCCAGTCGTCCATCAATTTCAGCCTCTTGAAACTTTTTGTTTCGTAAAATTAATAATCGTTCAACTTCATCATTTTGCATCTGTAATAAGCAAAACTTCATTGAATTCAGCATTCATTGACAGTCATCACAAGACATACAGAAAGATGGCCAAACTGCTTATTTAACTTGTAAGCACATGGACATTTTGGATTAATCGCAGTTGTTCTTTGCTGTTACAAAAGAAAAACTATTAATAAAAGAATATATATATACAAATCTAAACCTTAGTCTTAGAAATTTTTTTACGATCTACATATGCTGTCAAAGCCATAACTTCATTGAGCAATTTGTTAAGCATTTCACTTTTTTCAACATCCACTTTCGAAACTTCATTGATTTCTTGTTCATTTTTTGTTTTTTCCTTCTTTTGCAATTCTGGAGGAAGAACTGGTTTAGGTTTCAATCTGAAAAATATTGCATGGTGCAGATATATGGAGCGGTTAGGAAGACGTCCTTTACTAATATGATGGCATATTTTGTTGCAATGCGTAGGAACAAATTCTAGAAGCTGGAGAAAATTAAAAATACATGCATTAAAAAATCAACTTACTATGTAAGTTCATAAACTTACTGTGGTTTCATTCCTTTGTTAATAATGAAACGTTTGAGTTGCAGGATTTTTAAAATTTCATCTCTAACTGACTGATAACTTTGTACTCTATTGTTGTTCATGGCGTTGTTTTCCAGCAAGGAACAAATGAATGCTTTGTGGTGGTATCGCCAATCATCAAATTGTAAAGCTGACATAATATCACCACAGAAACCTACGAAATCGACTCTTGTTGATAAGGCCTAAATCACTTTTTTAAGTAAAATAAAAGCAAAAACTGTTTTAAAAAGCACATTTGCAAAATTTGTCACCGAGATAAAATACAAAAATTTACAGTATCGTCACACTTACCCATGCTTCCTTTTGAGCTGAACTATACTGTGTAAGACACCCGTTTTTATCTTCCTCGCCACGGATAGCTGATTGTATTAGGTCTCTGAGTGGATCTGTAATTCTTATTTTGAATTATCGAGCAAGAAAAAGGTGGCATTAAAAAAAAATCCGCTAGAAAAACAAAAGATTTCAAAGCATATACATTGGTGTAAAACAAAAATTATTTCACAACACATGCCTTCTGTAGAAATAACCACCGGAGAATCTTTGGGTAATTTTTCCATGAGACCAATAAGAATATTACGCAACTCTTTGCTTCTTCCATAGAGTAACATATGATAATCTATGGGATCACGCACACCAATGCTCTGCAGTTAATAGTTTCAACAGGGAAAAGATTTTAATCTAGTTTCGACCGGAAACTTTTGTTCGATACACCTCTATTTGACAAAATTCAAATTTAAGTTTGAAATGAAATTAAGATTTGTTTCAGTTACATCAACATACAAATAAAACTGAAATTTGCCTTCACTGCATCGACAACGGTTATAACGCATCGGAGTTTTGCAGACATATTCTGGGGAAGCAGTCTTGATGGAATTTCCTTCCTGAAGAGAATAATGCTTCAAATTTATTTCATCTTATCAAGATAAACAATTCATTACTGTATAAATGACTGGAAACCGACATTACCTCGTACTCGGTTTGCATGACCATACTAACATTACAATGGCTTGATAAAAGATCTCGATACCAAGCTCTGCAACACTGGTCGGAATCTCTTGAAAGCCATCAAAAAAGTTCCTGAAATTATAACATTGATGAACTTATGCACTGATGTTTCGTATGAAAACAAAAATGAATTTGCTGTAAGGAAAACGAACGGGTCAAGATGACGCAATGTACTGATAATTTGACCATCAACAACATCCATCCTCACTGAGATCACTTATATTCGATTGCCAAGCACCACTAAATATCCATCATTTTACCAACCATACTTAGCTCTTCGCATGCTGCAAATTAATCCAACTACAATCAAATCCACAATCGAGCGCTAAACAATAAACAAAATCTTCAATCACTCTCTATTTCCAATTCTCGCTCCATTCTATTTCATCAATATCAGCAATCTCTGTCTCTCTCCAAACAACACGCTGCTTTCTCAGCTACGTGTCTACGACGTTATTCTTCCACTCTCTGCTTCATATGAACTGTTCATGTTATCCAATTCGGTTTCCTTAAGTTAAGGGTGGCAGCTAAAGGTGGGGTTTTCCGTGTTATTCCTGAGAACTAAAACTGGACCGTAAGATGATTGCGCACCTTATAGTTGCAGTTGCTGAGATTTAGAGTGCCTGATTTTGTTCATTCAACATCGTTTAGTTTTTTGATAAACGTTCAGAAGCTTCGAAATATATTTCTATACCTTCTGCATATTGAAGCATTAAGTGTTCAGTTCAAATTTCATGGAAATATTTTTAAAGTCATGGTAAAATGCTGTTCTTGAAGTATTGAAATCATTTTTGCACTTGGCAATCTATCTTACTTTCAGGTTATTTTAGATTGATTTTGAATATATGAGAAGTACTGTGAACTTCATTGAGATAACCAACCGTTGATCAAACTGTCAAAATGTTATCGGTCATAGACTTTGTTCCGAATTCATAAATGATTAAAAGTTCTTGAGTAAACGACCGCTTGTTTAACTTTTGAGCAGATGGCCAAAGGGTCGTTGTAATGTGATGGAAGGTAGCGAGTCGGGACTTCGCTCAAGTTATTCGTACCTGATAGAAGGACTGCTTCTCATTATCACTACTTCGATTTTTTCCCATCAAAAATATATTGTTTATGAAATTAAATCTTTAAAGTGTTTCGATGGTTTGCATGCCCAGTGCTTTTTTGCTTAATATTATATCCACATTGTTGGAAATTATTACAACATAATCTATATTTAAATTGCTGTAGGATTGATGAAGTTTGAAAGAGTAGAAGTTCTTGACTTTCGTTAATGTCTTATAAGCTTAAATGCCTTGTTTACAATTTCATGGATTAATCGCAGGAATTTATCGTCATTTTGAATTCCTTTCCATAGTTTCTTTAAAGTAAGTTTTTCGAACTTAGTGGATACCGATTCTTATCAATATTGTACTAAGTTTCAGTCGAAGTTAAAGTCTGTAAAAAAATGAGAGATTGTTAAAAGTTCCCATAATTTTGATTTAATTGAAGGAAAAAATACGCCAAAAGAAAAGAGGAAAATCATACAATTTAACTTAATAGTGGACCTTAAACTCTGGAAATTTTTAACAATGTACCTGTTTTTTAAAGCAATGTTACACACAACTGAGAAGCTGCTTTTGACTACAAAACATAACTGTTTTTATTTGACGATATTGTCTAAATCTCCGTTGACACAATCATTTTAACAAAAAATACCTTCGATTACAAAGGTTTTATTACTAAAATAATTTCAGCATTTTAAATTCTTCATGATATGCAGAGTCGTATGAGATAAACCTATTTATTTTAAAAGGGACAAAGAAAATCGGAGATATCTTGTAATTTGACGGTATAATCGATTTTTTCTTGCCATGAATTTTCTCTTATATAACAGTGATTACAATGAGGACGGAATAACTTGCTGTCAATTGGCTATTGTATAAATGTGGACACTTTAGAAATTTTTACTGAAAGAGTGGCAACATATTGTCTGACTTCGATGTATTCAGAAATATCTTATATAACTATTTTTCCATCTTATCACACAACTTTCATTTGAAATGGAAATTCAACAATTTAAAAATAGCAACAGTGCAAGTTAAAAATCATGGATTTTCCTTTGAAGGGTTTTAATTCTTGAAGGACAGATTGAAAACGATTTGCCTGATTATTGGATGCGGTTCCTCTGCTGAATACTCCACTATCGTTGCTGTGGAATAAAAAGTTCTGGAATGCATATTGCAGTGTATGAAATGACATTTTGTGTTCCTTTTTCATCTTTCAATTGCACACTAGAATGAGAGTCCCATGCAAATTTACAATTCATTGTGACAATTTGATGAAGGGTATGAGATCCATTCTATAAACTTTCCGTGGAACCTTCGTTATGATATTCTTCTATGTCTTTTCTCCTTACAATTCTTCTAAAATAAATTCCGAACACTAATATGTCGCAGTTCACAAAGGCTAGAAGATTTAGCCAATTAAGAATAACAGCAAATTTTAGACGTAAAACGCCATCGTTCAAATTATTTCTGTTTAGCGGAAAAAGTTATATAACTTAAGTAAGCGCAATATTATCAGAAGTTCCATATCTAGAATTGATATCGTTTGGAGTAATATTATTCTCAGTAACCTACAGGAAGGAGCGAATAGTCGTTGTATCAATTTACCTAATGTATATATACGCTGACTTTTCTGATGTCAGCCGTCCCATCGCTCAAATCTGGATTTTCATTTTTCTTTGATATTTGCAGGAAAAGTGAGATGTGGATTTGATGGGACAAACTAAGCTGATTAGTTGTCTGTGTGGTTAGGCTGCTCATTGAAGGCTGTTTGAGGCTTTATTGCTTGTTATTTGCTGACACAACTTTCATTGACTTGTTTTTGCCTTTCTAATGGCTGCAACTTAAATAAGAACATGCATATATATACATATTATAT